CCACACACAAATTTGTTTCTGTGGCTGCTTTCATGCTGTAACAGTAGAGTTGGGTAGTTGCAACAGAGACCATATGACCCTCACAGCCTAAAATATTTATTCTCTAGCTTTTTACTGAAAAAGCCAATTGACCCCTGATATACACCAACTGTTGTATCATTAGAAAACTAGTGCCAGGTATGGTGGCTCACACCTGTAATCCCAGCACTTTGGGAGGCTCAAGCTTGCCTAGCTTTGCTCAGGTGGGTGGATCACTTGAGCCCAGGAGTTTGAGGCCAGCCTGGGCAACATGGTGAAACCCTGTCTGTACAAAAAAAATACAAAAATTACCAGGAGACTTAGGTGGGAGGATCACTCGAACCTGGGAGGCAGTGTCCCCCAAAAATACATAAACCCACAGAAGTATTTCTCTTACACAGGCAATAGTTATTTAAATAACATCTTTCCCTGCCTTATTTTTCTCCTTGATAGGTACCACTATTTATCACTGTTTTACATACTATACTTTTGCTTGTTTAAATAAACAGACACAGGTTAACTATTTCTTCCCTCTAGATTGTAACTTTAGTGAGGGCAGGGGTTTGTGTCTGTATTGCTTACTGTTGGATTCTCTAGCACCTAGGCATGTAGTAGACACACAATGTATATTTTATTTGAGTATTTACATAATATATATCTGTTGAATTGAGAAACGAACGGCTGAATTTGCTACATATTACTGTATCCAACTCTGAGGATGACTGGACGACAGAAACAAAGTATCCTTTGTTCATTTGCATAGCTTGCCTAGCTTTGTTCTAGAGATTGTAGGAGGTATCTCTGAATTTCAGCAATATCTAACAGCATTTTGATGCTGTTCCCTAGTGTATATAGCACTGAAGAACAGCATGTACAAATATACATATTAGATACGTTCATTTAAAAAAGTATTTAATAATATACTTTTATAATGTATTTTATATAATTATGTTAATATATCATATATTATTTTATATTAATAATGTTAATTATACATAATGTTAATATAAATGTACATATATCTATACCTCAAGCTTTTATATCAATTATTGTTTTTATACATTTGAAACAGTAGGCTTTGTGAAGTGAATGGCACATAGTAAATACCTAAAGGTTAAAATAATTGAAGAATTAAGCAAGATCTTAGGTAATAGGTTATTTTATGAAGACAAAGGTATTGCTTAGTGGTTTCCCACTGCTTTTACAATGAAATCCAAATGGTTTTCCAGCCAGTAAAGCCTTGTATGATTTGACTATTTGTCTTTGTCTCCCACCTTCTCCCTTGCTTGTTATGCTGAAATCAAACTGACCTTTTTTTTTTTTTTTTTTGAGACAGAGTCTCGCTCTGTCTCCAAGGCTGGAGTGCACTGCAGTGGTGTGATCTTGGCTCACTACAACCTTCACCTCCTAGGTTCAAGCAATTCTGCCTCAGCCTCCTGAGTAGCTAGGATTACAGTCGCACACCACCACGCCCGGCTAATTTTTGTATTTTCAGTAGAGACGGGGTTTCGCCACGTTGGCCAGGCTGGTCTTGAACTCCTGACCTGAGGTGATCCTCCTGCCTCGGCCTCCCAAAGTGCTGGGATTACAGGCATGAGCCAACTCGCCCGGCCCAAACCGAACTTCTTTAAGTTACTCTATTACCTTAAGGTCCTTTATTTATAGTTAAACAAAATATAATGACTCCCCCATAGACCCTAAGCTCTATTAGGGCAGGGATCACAGATGCCTTATTCACCATTAACAACCCAATGTTTAGCAAAATAACTAAAATGTAATAAGCAGTAAGTAAATATTTTTTGAATGACTACATATGTGATTAAAAGAATACTGGAGTTGATGTCAGAAACCCTAGGTTAAAATCTTGGGAATGCATTCTGAATCTTGACCTAGGTACCAATTACACAACTGTGTTTGTCAAAAGTCATGAATTTTAATGTTGGCTTTTTTTTTTTTTTTTTTGTTTTTTTTGAGACGGAGTCTCGCTTGTCGCCCAGCGCTGGAGTGCAGTGGCCGGATCTCAGCTCACTGGCAAGCTCCGCCTCCACGGTTCACGCCATTCTCTCCGCCTCAGCCTCCCGAGTAGCTGGGACGACGGGGCCCGCCACCACGCCCCGGCTAGTTTTTTTTTGTATTTTTTTAGTGGAGACGGGGTTTCACCGTGTTAGCCAGGATGGTCTCCTCGATCTCCTGACCTCGTGATCCACCCGTCTCGGCCTCCCAAAGTGCTGGGATTACAGGCTTGAGCCACCGCGCCCGGCCTAATGTTGGCATTTTTTATGTAAATGTGTTGATAAGTTTTAAAAAACCCAATCCTAAGATCCTCCTATTTACTATGCGAACATGAGTAAGTCCATTTCTCTGAAATTTAGTTTTATCATTTATTAAGAAGTCTTTTTGTGCCTATCTCAGAGTTGTTGCAAGCACTGATAAGATGACATAAAGTGAAATTGCCTTATCATAATAGACATACAACAAATACCAGTTGAATTTCTATTCTGTGAAGGATGTAGAAGCAGAAAGATGCAGAGGTGAAACTCCCAGAGGCCAAATAGGATGAAACTTTCACTTACAGAAGAGCTCTTAGATAGCCAAAGAGAGTTGTGACTTTAAGAGACACCACAAGGAGGGAATTAACTCCAGGGAGCACCTGATCTCTAGAGTATGCCACAGGGCCCTTAGATCCTTTTACCCTTAAAAATTAGAAGGGCCTTGGGGTCTGGGGAAGAGCAAGAGCCTGGGACTGGTAAAGCCTTAAGGAGAGTAACCAGAGATTATAGTCATGGTGTATCCAAGCACCGTGGTAGACAGTGAAGTGATTGACCTGCCTAATCAACCATGAGAGAGCCATGTGGCTAAAAAGTAAAGTCAACATAGAAGTCCTCTACAAATTAAAATGTAGCCTGCAGTGTTTCAAAACTAATAAAGAGCTAGATATAATTGAATCTCAGAGGATTACTGGAAGAAGAATAACTACCAAGAATGGGAGTTTCCAGTCTATTGTCATGAGAAGGCTAAGAAAAGAGGGGCAAGTGCATTTAAGGAACATCAAAAATGGCAAAGGAACTCTTAGAGAACCTTCAGTTCTCTAAGAGTTCCAAATTTAAATCATTCCAAATTTAAAACATCAAAGCAACTGAAGCCAAATCATATTTTAATTTAAAACATTCAGCTCACAAAATATACCTTATGTCACTCTCTTCTCTGTCTGAAGTAGTAATAGTTACACTTAATGTATTGAACCATATTGACCAACTAGAAAATAAACCTCAAGAACCAGATTGTACCAAAACATTTTGAGGGGAAAAATACCAAATCTTTGTTAGTATCTTCATAGGTCCTGCTTACTGTTATTAATAACTATTAAAATTGTTGTTTAATCCTCCTTCAAAGCCTGTGAAATTAGAGCTACTATTAATAACCCCATTATGGTTGAACAAACTAAGTCTTAAAGAGGCTAAATAACTTTCCCAAGATCAGATAGATGGTAATTGGCAGACCAGACCTCAAGCCCACATACGTATGATAGCAAAGCCCATGCTCTTACCTGTTGTTGGAACTCTTTGTTGGGATGTATATAACGTGTCATTATTTAAAAGGTCATGCTTGTACGTGTCTATTAAGATAAGTATATCAGGGCTGGGCACAGTGGCTGACTCCTGTAATCCCAGCACTTTGGGAGGCCAAGGCGGGCGAATCACGAGGTCAGGAGGTCGAGACCAGCCTGTCCAACATGGTGAAAACCCCGTCTCTACTAAAAATGCAAAAAAATAGCTGGGTGTAGAGATGGGTGCATATAATCCCAGCTACTCAGGAGGCTGAGGCAGGAGAATTGCTTGAACCCGGGAGGCGGAGGTTGTAGTGAGTTGAGATTGCACCACTGCACTCCAGCCCAGGTCACACAGTGAGACTCCATCTCAAAAAAAAAAAAAAAAAAGGATAAGGATATGAAAACATCAAGTTATGCACCTTAAATATATACAATTAAGGAAGACTATAGTAAAAAAAATTCAGATTGAAAAATCAACAGGAAACAAACCTGATATGGTTCTCAAAAAAGATATACTTTCCAAAAGGTAGATAAAATATGATACAGATTCTATTATTGTCCCAAATTAAGGAAATTTTAGTGTCTAATAAGATAAGTAATATATAAAAGAACCTAACATTTTCCCTAGTATATTATAACATAGTAATTATTCAATCAACATTCAAACAACTGTATATTATACAGTGGTATTTTGTTTGGTGTTTTCTGAACTGAAATGATAGCAGCTCCCAGGACATTGATATAAAGTCAGTCTGGATCTCCATCTAAAACATAGTGTCCACTTTGCAATCTTCAGCCTGTATTTGGGGATGCATACTTCTGCATGTAGTTCTTTGACAGTTTTAGTGATGCTGGGGTCCTAATAATGTGGATATTAGCTTGCTCTACCTAAGTACTGTACTGAACACTGCATTTCTGCATTCTTAAGTTGTCATTTCTAAACTGTATGAACAGTATAAAGATCAATAAATTCTTCACTTACAATTTTTAAAGCTGTGGTACTGGAAATCTGTTCAGTGCCAATATGACTTCCATGTACAAGAAATGCACACAGAGAAGAAATCCTGAAAACTGTAGATTGTTGACTCTTACTTGAATAGATACTTGATATGGTTTGGCTGTGTCCCCACCCAAATCTCATCTTGAATTCCCATGTGTCATGGGAGGGACGCAGTGGGAGGTAATTGAATCATGGAGGGCAGGTCTTTCTCGTTCTGTTCTTGTGATAGAGAGTAAGTCTCATGAGATCTGATGGTTTTATAATGGGGAGTTTCCCTACACAAGCTTTCTCTTTTTGCCTGCTGCCATCCATGTAAGACGTGACTTGCTCCTCCTTGCCTTCTGCCATGATTGTGAGGCTTCCCCAGTCACATGCAACCATAAGTCCGTTAAACCTCTTTTGTAAATTTCCCAGTCTCAGGTATGTCTTTATCAGCAACATGAGAAGAGACTAATACAATACTGAAAGAGAGTATCATGTATAACATTGTTACTGAATTGTAAACTCAAAAAAAAAAAAAAAAAAAAGAGAATTTGTCTCTCTTGTTTGCCAATTTTTTCTCTAAGGCAGGGTTTTTTAACTTTGACACTATTGACATTTTGGACTGGTTAATTCTTTTTTGTAGGGGACTGTTCCATGCATTTGTAGGATGTTTAGCAGTTCCTGGCCCCAACCTACTAGATGTCAGCAGCACCCGTCTCCAGTTGTGACAAACAAAAATACCTCTAGACATTGATAAATGCCCCCTCGGGGGAAAATTGCCTCCATTTGAGAACCACTACTCTGAAGAATAAAATAGCATATGGCAAATAAAAGACACTCACCAAATATTTTTGGATTGACTGAAGACAGGAAAGAACAGTCTTCCACAAAATGTACCACTTGTGATATGCTTTGAATCTCTAGGTATGACCTGGAAACATTTCTATAACCTTAAGAGTTATGTATTTTATATACATTAGAAAATATAGAACACGACAAACCCATGTTTTTGTGTAGTATTTTATAGGACAGCGCTAAAGTGGATACTGAAGTTAAAAAGTAACTTAATGGAAGGAAACATTAAGTAACTGTACACAACAGATACATTAAGCACAACTCATCAAATTGATTAAGGTGGTGTGTGAATTACTGGAGTTTGAAGCACTCATTTATACTAAGGGAAACTTAAGCACAAATGAACTTCCCCTAAGTCTGGTTTGTGTGCACCACTAGAATCCTCTTTGGGAATGATCTAGTGCCTTGCACAGGCTAGATACAGGTGTTGATGACAAATTGCTTACCTTTGAGAATTAGTCTGATAGACACTATAAGATATTAACATCTGGATGAGGTAGCATTATGAGAGTTCAAAGGAAAAAGAAATTACTTTCTACTCAGGTAATGAGGGAAAGTATCACTATTGATATTGAAGGATGAATGGAATTTTTGTAGTAGATAATATGGAGGAAAAGAGTAGAGGCAAAGAGTTGGACCAGTTCAAAACATATTTAAGGGATGAGTAGAGGCTGGTTTGGCTGGAGTGTAGTATAGCTATTAAGGAAAGTGGAATCTGGTTGTAGAGGGCGTGTAATGCCAGGGTGGGTTAATCCATGGAACAAAGATTATTTGATTTTCTAATGTCTGGCTAAAAACTACTTTGTTGTTATTGTTGTTTTTAAGTGTATTTCCGTTATTTTAGAAGTAACGTTTAGTTTGGGATGGGGACCTGACTGAGAATCAAGATAAATAAATACTGCTGCTTAGAGAAGTATTAAAAACTAACACACACACACACAGACACACACACACACACTAGCTGAAAGAAGAGACCAGAGACTAGAACAGCAGAGGATCAGAATGGAAAGATCATGACATCAGAAGAAGCAAGGAGGTAACCTGGGCCTGGGGGAGTTTGCGGTTTGAGGTGATATGGGTAGTAGGCCTTGAGCCTTTTATCGCTGTAAGAAAATGGTCTTATTTAAAATAAGATGCTGATCTTTGGAGGTTTATTACTGAAACGCTAGATGAGGTGGCTGACATGTAGTATTGATTTTTGCCTCCTTGGTTTTATCTTCCCCTGGAAGATAGCTGCCTCCAGTGATGCTTGTTGTTTCCACCATGCTGACCTCTGGAGCGGCAATTCCTCTTTGAAAATCCTGGCCCAGGCCTGACAGCCCTTTCCTTTGTGGTTTCTCCTAACACAACTGAAATAGGCTTGATTCTTTTCTAAAAGACTTTATTAAATATTAAAGAATAAACAAGAAATAAAATACGAGAAGTCCTGCCAGATTTACCTAGCATCTCTGATATCACTGTCCCTGGTCAAGCCACTCTCATACCTCAAATCTCCTTTCCCTGCTGCTGCCATTTAGCTATATCACCGCCCTGCTTAACTCTTTCATGGCTTCTCATTTGTACATGGATTACATTTTAGTATATTAACTTTCTTTTGGTATTTCCTGGTGTAAGGATGGTTTTATAGTTATGTTGACATAATGATTATTTCATTTATGTGATTTGAATGGGTTACGGTTAAAGTTGAGATGATACTTGGGAAGGGTGAGAACCTTCCTGTGAAAAGGTATGAGTTCTAACACTTCCCTAAAGGTTTCCCAGACTAGCTTTATCTGAAGGGTCAGGAGTCACTGGATTTCAAATTGTGCTTCCTATAGTGCTAGGTTTCTGATGAGGTATGTCCAGGTCACCTCCAGAAAAAAATCTCAATGGGTGAGACTACAACCCACCACACCAATTCTGCCTGAAGAGTTCCACCCTAACCCATTTTTTATATATTGGTGGTCCACATAAAATTTTTTGAGGGCTGTCTGCTGCTTTCAAAAAAGATGCGTTGATGAGAAGTCATTAGATGATTTCTAAAGTTCCTTTCAACTCCAAAATTATCTGAGAATCCAGCCCCCTTGACGTCTTTCTTGATTCACTTTATGCTAATTTTGTTCCATATGATTAATGCGTTGTTAGAAAATAACAGAATTTCAGAGCTGCAAGAAACTTTAGCAGTTATCTTGTCCAGTTTTCCAAAATGAGCGCCAAAGAACAAGACTCCTGAGAAATGCCCGTTGCTTACAGAAAGGACTATATAGCTAAATACTTTGAGACTGTACTTCTGTCCCATTGCTCAGTAGCATTTTAAAGGCTCTGAAAAGTCTTATAATAAAGAAACCTGATTAAATTAAGTCAGTATTTCCTACATTGGAAGCATGGGCTCTATTTCAACTTACTATGACCTTCTTTATCTGGGACTAGTTTCTGCCCTATTACCAGATCAGAGAACCCTGTTTTTGAATAACACACTTTTTAACATACTGTGTGTCATGCGCGTCCATGTGAAGAGACCACCAAACAGGCTTTGTGTGAGCAATAAAGCTTTTTAATCACCTGGGTGCAGGCGGGCTGAGTCTGAAAAGAGAGTCAGGGAAGGGAGATAAGGGTGGGGCCATTTTATAGGATTTGGGTAGGTAAAGGAAAATTACAGTCAAAGGGGGGTTCTCTGGCGGGCAGGAGTGGGGGTCACAAGGTGCTCAGTGGGGGAGCTTTTTGAGCCAGGATGAGCCAGGAAAAGGACTTTCACAAGGTAATGTCATCACTTAAGGGCAGGAACAGGCCATTTTCACTTCTTTTGTGGTGGAATGTCATCAGTTAAGGCGGGGCAGGGCCTTTTCACTTCTTTTGTGATTCTTCAGTTACTTCAGGCCATCTGGGTGTATATGTGCAAGTCACAGGGGATGTGTGCAAGTCACAGGGGATGCGATGGCTTGGCTTGGGCTCAGAGGCCTGACACTGTGGAGAATAATTTGGGAAAACTCATATAGTTGAGCCTCCTCCTTTTGCAAAGAATTTATGATAGAAAATGATTGATCATGTGTCACACAGTTGGTTATCAGGTCTCAGTCTAATATTTATTCCTCAATGGTCTCTGCTTAACTTCAAGTAGGTTATAGATTCCTTAATGGACTGATAGTTTATGTCTTATAGCTTTACCTTTCAGGTGCTTAGTTTCATATTGGGAACATGATAAGTGAATAATAAATGCATGATAGCTCTATGATTGAACCCTGTGAGAATATGAAGCATTATGATATGAATTGGTTTCTGTGTATGTATGAGGGTTTTTTTTTCCATCTTTTGGAAACAATTTCTGTTCCCCTGTGTACACCCTTTCTCTGTAATTGCAGTGTATGTTTTTTGTTTCTCCAAAGTTTCTGTTGTCAGTAGTTTATGGTCATTGATTCATACTGTTTATTGGAAATAACTCTGTGGGCTGCTTTGCCTCAGGGCTAATTTGATTAGGGATGCTGTTGTTTTACACCATTTGGGAAAATGTTACGCTATAAAGGCTATTGAATTTGTCACAGAATGATATTGAAGGGAAGCCAGAGACAGGAGAGCTAGTAACTTGCTGGCCTGGTTATTAGCTTTGGGCCTTTTGGGATTTTTGTCTGCCATTTGTGTTGATATTGCTGTTTTCTGAAGAGATAAGTGTGTGACCAATTTCGGGATTGTTACTTGGCACGGACAGAAACTAGTACCAGATAAAGAAGGTCATAGTTAGTTGATATAGAGCCCCTGCTTCCAGAATATTGTGCTGCTGTCCTCTGAGGTTAGATTATCTGTTTGTGAGGGAGAAAACATTTATGTAAGGGAGAAAGATTGGAATGTACTGAAATGAAATGCTCACATTGACCACATCAGCTGTACTGGAGCTTATCTGATGTAACCACTCAGCCTCTGTCAATCTGACTGTGTGTATGTGCTCTGTTTTGTACAGGGAATCGTCATCCAGGGACCTGCCAGAAACCACAAGAAAACATGGGGAGGGGTAAGTTTCTCTTCCCTTTTAAGTAATTTAGACTGTCTCTGTAGCTATTATAGTCAGGAAATTAAATTTCTAACTCATAGTATATTTGTGGACACCTAAATTGTATTTCTTGTTAGTGTTAAAAAGTTTTTGTCTGAAGCAGGGCTTTGCAGAGAAAGACCATCAACCACATTTGTGTTCTGGATCTTTGATTTTCTTCTTTTGTAGAGACCTCCCAGTACAGGGAGAGATGGATCAATATATATATACTATATATACAGTATATATTCGTTTATATATATACACTAATATATAGTGTGTATATATGTATTAGTGTATATATATAGATAGATATACTATAATATATAGTGTATATATAGATATACTCTATATATAGACCTTCCCCAAACCCAGCTTCTTTACAACTTTTTTCTGTTTTCTGTTTTCATGCTAGTAACATAAAATAAAGAGTCTACTATGCAGCCAATGAAAGTAGTAAAAATAATCATCTGTGAGGCTGATCTGTAATTTTTTTTTTTTTTTTTTTAAGCCCAGCATTACGAACCATTAGATGAATTCCTTTTGTTTATTTTTGCCTTCTCATAAGGCTGCTTATGGGCAGTGGACAACAGATAAATTTAAGTTCATTTCCTTGTTAATATTAAGCAGCCACGAGAGGGACTTCATAAATAATTCTAATTAATGTATATCATGGCAACCTAAAATAATCAAAAGGGTCAGAATCTAGTTTAAAGAGTTTATTCGAGTGCAAAGGTTGAGGATGGACTCATCTGGAAAGCACTGATTCCAAAGAATGGAAATCACTGTTTCCAATTGTAGAAGTTTGGGGATCACTTGAATAGACAAAGTTTAGGATATTTTAACAGAATTTTAACATCTTTCTATGTAAGGCTTACTGCATAGTTACAATGACCTGATTGATCCAGGTGGTCCTTTTCTTTCAGGAAAGGTATATTTAACATTCCACAATGAAGATGTGATTGTCATGGGGTCTCTGTTTGGGGCACCATCTGGTCTGAGTTAGGTACAGGATAATAAAGGAAGAGTAGCAAAGATCAGTGACTGAAAGGGGGAGGTCTGGCCTCTGGTCTTTGCTATTCATTTACAAAACAACAGCAATGAGGAAGAGTGTTAAACTATAACCTAAGAAGCAGAATTGCAAAATATGTTATGTGACTGAAACCACAGTCACATCTCTCCCAAGGCTTAAAGTGTTTTGGGGGGTTCCAACAGCTTTTAAATTTTATTAATTTTCACAATCATAAAATTAGAATGCTATGAAGGACCTCAGAGGAAGATTTGGTGTGTATAGTGAGAAGAATACTGGATACAAAAGACCTGAATTCAAGCTCTACCTCTACTACCTTGATCAAATCCTAGAAACTCCCTAAACTTGTTTGTTCATCCCTGACGTGGGATTAATACATTCTGCACTTCTAGCCTCAGAAAGTTGTGGTTGGCATAATGTGATAATACATGTAAAAGTGTTTTGAGAGTTCTAAAGTGTAATGGAATACAGCAGTGGTATCTGCCCATTACTGTCCTTACTGACTAACTATATCTTCATTGTTTTTTTAATGGGTAAAAATGAAGTTATTTGACCAGATGCGTCTGTAGGCAGCATGACTGGGACTTGAGTCATATAAGCAACTGAGGGTTCCTCCTTCTGTTGCATTTTGCTTGCCCCACCCTTGTATGGGCCCTGGTAGGAAGCTCCAAGGATTATGGATCAATCACAGAAAATATCTTCTTGAATCTTGCTGAATCAGCTTTTGTTCCTGTTTTCTCCAGAGCTTCCCTTGGAAATTGATTAGGCCTAGCTATTCTGGTTCTTTCCAAATCTTCACAAAAGATGGCAATCTCTGATGGTTTGGAATTTTTAAAACTAAATAAAATTTTTAAACACTATTCAGAATTCTGGGACTAATCTGTGCCACGGCCTGCCCGCAAATCAGCTGTCAGTGGAAGCTTCCAGAGTAGTGATACAGCTCCAATGGCTGGGGAAACTCCAGGGTCCTTAGTCTCACGCCGAGTTAGATAAAACGACACAGACACACATGGAGTGGTTTTAAGTAGTGGAGAGTTTAATAGGCAACAAAGAAGGAAGAAGCTCCCGCCTACAGAGACAGAGGGAGAGGGGCTCCCAGCTGAGAGAGGAAACCTGGAGTGTGGTGGAAAACAGCCAGTTATATGAGGAGACTGGAGGAGGCAGTGTCTGATTTGCATAGGGCTCAGGGGATTGGTTTGACCAGGTATGTCATTCACATAGCCTGTGAGAAAACTGGCCCTCCCACCCTAGCTTTTTAATGTGCAAATGTAGGGCGCCGTGATGTTCTACACATGTGGGGATATGTGGGGACGGCCATGTTGCCAGGAACATGTTGGGGCAAGGGGAAGAAGATGGTGGGAATGGCCATGTTTGTGTGGACCCAGTTTCCAATGGCCTGCATTTGCGTATCAAAGCTTGCTGGCCCAACTCTAAGAGCCTGGGCTTTCCTGCTAGACAAGAAACATTTCTGGAGCTGCTTTAAAAGAAAGAAAAACTTCCCAAGGACCCCTTTTCCTATCTATCTGCCTAAAATAATTTCTTAGTAACTTCTATAACATTAGCACATCATGTTTGGTCCTCACCCAATCCCAAAAGCTTCAAGTGGATTTGGAGAATGCTGTGGTTGTTGGATACTGCCATAGCCATATAGAAGAGAGAGCTGCACTGAGACAAGGAAACCCATTCTTTCTCATTTCCTCTATTCATTTTTAGACTGCTCATCAGGTCACTAGCAAAGGGACTATTAGGTGCTTAGTTTAGAAGATGTCTCAGCAACTTTTTGTTCAAATGGTCAGGCAATTAGTATATAGTTGACCTTTGAACAATGTGGGGGCTAGGGATGCTGACTCTGTTGCATAATCAAAAATTCATGTATAATTTTTGATGCCTCCAAAACTTAACTACTACTAGCCTACTGTTGACTGAAAGCCTTACCAATAACATAAACAATTAACACATACTTTATATGCTATGTGTATTACATACAGTATTCTTAAAATACACTAGAGAATAGAAAATATTAAGAAAATCATAAGGAAGAGAAAATGTATTTACTATTAAGTGGAAGTAGATCATCATAAAGGTCTTCATTTTTGTCATCTTCACATGGAATCAGTGGAGGAAGAAGAGGAATTGGTCTTAATGTCTTAGGAGTGGCAGAGACTGCAGAAAATTTGCATATAAATTAACCTGTGCAGTTCAAATATGTGTTGTTCAAGAGTCAACTGTAGTTCTTGCTAAAGAACAGGGCATGGTAATGTAATCTGCAAAGATAGGCATGTTTCCAAGCTGGTGATGAGATAAGGGAAGTGCTTCAAAGAATGCTGCTTTTACAAATACAGAAGCTTGTGATAGCATTTTCACTGTGTTGACCACTTTGAAAGCATTTGTAATATCCTGAATCTCAAAGAGACTCTATCCTTTACTCTCTAAGCTTTGCTTAGTTTGCCTGATTGCATTTGTTAATTGCTGACACTGTTATTGGGGAGAAAAAGATGCTACTGTATGCTCATTTTTCTCTTTTCTGGCACTGTACAATGAAATTTTCCCTGCATTTGGCAAAGATTCTCACAAACGTAGCCCAATGTATCATGCAGAGGGACACAGAGGAAAAATATTGCAAAGATATGGCACTAGCCTCGTTACATAAATTAAGGATGCATGAAAACAAAAAACACGGTTGGATAACTGTACAGTTTAGGTGAGAAATTAAAACTGAAGTGAATTTCTTTTAGCATTCTTTGATACTAGATGAAGAAGTTATTTGTACATATGTGTTAGAAGAATCATTCGTTTATGTGACATGAAGGATTATAAACAAAATTTAAATCTTGAGGTGGGGAAGATGAGAACAGCCTTGTATATTTAATTTTTTATTAGCCTACTACTACCAGTGTCCATTGTGTGTGACACTGAAATCCCATTTACTATGTATGAATTCTTAAACAGGGCTTAGTCTTTGGGACTCTTAAGAGTCTGTAATTATTCTGATATTAACACATTTCTGTAGAGCACTTTATAACTCACAGATACTCCCTCTACATTATCTTGAGTTGCAAGACAACCCTATGATGTAAATAGGAATTATTATCCTCATTTTATGTGTTATAAAACTGAGGCTCATAAGAAAAAGTCTTATCTATAATCCACAGACTACTAATGGAGAGCCAAAATGCAAATCTAGGCCTTCTTATGTCACATCCAGTTTTTTTCTTCCAATAAACCATATTCTGAATATCTTAATCATCAATAGTGTGTAAGTCAATTAAAAACTTAAGAGCTATCTGTTGCTGTGAGAGGTATAGAAGAAATTATTTTTTAATATCTGCAGTGTTCACATATCATGAGGGACTGGACAGAAAGGCAAAGGGAAATGGCTCATTGTTCATCAACATTTAGGGTAACAGCTAAAATACATGTGTATCAGATGGTGGAATGCCTCAAAGATGAAAATCCTCTGAGCAGCAGTGGTCCATGTCTACGGTAATTCAAAAGGCAGCCACACTGATTGGCAGTGACCATAGTAGGTAACAAAACAATTCAGTTCAGAAGCTTATGCTACACAGTCCAAAAGGGAAGGTGCCTAAAGTAAAGGGTCTTTTGCTGCTTACGTGGCCTATGTGAAACTCACCCGTTTGACTGATGAGTTTTTATCTTTGTGGTTTTTGTTGACACAAGGAATATAATGCATCATGGAACACCAGAATAGCATGAGATGACAAGATGAGATACTGGTTCAAAAATGAACAGCATATATAAATAAAACTATATGTAAAATTCTAGTAGAGAACATTTTTACAAAGAGAATGTGAGGATTTTACAAATGTGTATATATAGGCTCACAAAATATTATAATATAATCAGGCCTCCATATCTGTGGGTTCCACATTTATAGATTCAACCAACCGTGGATTGAAGTTATTTGAGAAAAAAACAAAAAAATAAGAATACA